ATGAACATAGACATCACTGTCTAGTGGTGGGCACTTGTTTGTTGGCGACTCCACATATAGACTGGCCCCCTGGAACCTGTCTCCAATTAATTTTAAGAATTCTCAGGCTAGATTCAGATTCTGGCTCTAACACCTACTTGTTCTACATTGCAGGGCAAGTTTGTAGCAAATGCAAGGTTCTATCTCATTAACTGTAGAATGTGTGTTTCTTCTAAGGCAGTGGTTCTCAACCTGTGGGTCGCGACTCCTTTGGCAGTCGAATGACCCTTTCACAGGGGTTGCCTAAGACCATCCTGCATATCAGATATTTACATTGTGATTCGTAACAGTAGCAACATTACAGTTATGAAGTAGCAACGAAAATAATTTTATGGTTGGGTCACAACATGAGGAACTGTATTTAAAGGGCCAGAAGGTTGAGAACCACTGTTAAAGAATCTTAACCGAGGGTAGGAAACCTTTGCAGGTCTTATAATTATCACACTGATAATTATGAGCCTGCTCCAGTCTCCATTTCCATCCTCAAGAGATCTGCTCACAACTCCTTCTGCATTATTTTCCATGGGGGGAAACTTCTGAATGATCAGAATAGGAAACTCACTGAAGCCCATGGCACCCCAGAGTCCTGGGTTCTGTTTCAGCTCTCGAGCTTCCAACTCTGAAATGCCAACCAGCCTCTGCCATTGGAAGCTAAGTACCTCTGGCGGCACTGATGCCAAGGCGCCTAATGAGATATGACATGAGAGGACTCCAGGGTGATGGGCCAGGATGTCCCTGGCCAGCAGCCTGCCAGAATTAGGAGCAGCGATGGTAGCTGAATTCAGAGCTGCCAGCAAGGAAGAACTGAGGGTGTGTGAGGACATGGTGGGACATTTTCTGAGCAGTGGTGCCAGGAGGTTGCATTTGGGTGCAACCCAACATTCCTTCAAGCTAACTGATATTAAATATTTATCTTGTGGTTCAAGTGCCTAAAGTACGGCAATGAACAAAACAGGGCTGACGCAAACTCACTGAGGATCATTTCATCTAAAATAATACAAATAAGAATACCAAAGAGGAAGCCCAGCCAGCAGGTACTGGGAAAGCTGGCCATGGGCTCCACAGGGCTGGGTTAGGAAGGTGAGAGGATCATTTCCAACTGAGGAGTCAGCCGGAAGCATGTCGGAGTCAAGGAATCATGGCACATGTAAGGAGGAGTTCCAAAGCAGCAAGATGGGGCCACTGTCACCACTGCTCTCTCGTTCACACATTCTTGTACACACAGAACCCGCTCCTGGCAAGGATGTCTCAAGAAAGAGGATTAACATGGGCTCTCAGGGGCCCCTGGGAATGATGGCGTTGGTGAGACAAGGGGATGCTACACAGAGCCTGCTGGGGGATGGGAGGAAGGAAGATAGAAATGATAGGAGTCCAGCAGCAGGGACTTAGCACATGCTATTCAACACAGTTCTGTGGTCAGCATTCTGCTGGGTTCACTGGGAGAGAGGAAGCAAGTGTAGGAAACAATTCTTGTTGTAAGGAACCTGCTATATACCAGGGGAGAAAGCAGTCACACTCACAAAAAGGGGGTTGAATGAGCTGCCATGTAATCAAGTGCCAAATTATGTGGTACAGATCCTAAGTCTCAGGAGCTCAAAAAAGGACACCTCACAAGGACCGGGGCCGTTTCTGAAAAGTTTTCTAGGAAGGCCAGCAAGTGTGGAGGGCACCCGCATGGGCAAGAACTGAGGAGTGGGCCACGGGGGCAGGGCAGGGGGAGCACGGCTGCCTTAGCCCCTGAGGCAGGGGTGAGGGTGGGGGGCAGTCTGGGCTTCTCACTGCAATACTGACACTAACAAATACATTTCCTGAAAAATTTTTTCAGAATGTGTCACTGAATGAACACCTGTGTGATTTTTTAATCAACAGGAAAGAATTGCATTTCATTAGCACTCTTACTTTTGTGCCCATTTTGATGTTTCTCCACCTGTTTAAAAAAAATCAAACCCAGTCTTACAATGACCAATCAATTTTATTTATTTGCCATGTATGTTTTGTGTAACAGAGGGTAACAAAGGTAAAGCTCTTGGTGGAAAAATATCAGTTAGGCTCACCTTTTATCAACCTCCTTTATATGAAAGTATTTTACTTTAATTCTTCACACAGAGAATTTAATATCAATATTAGTATGAATACTGCCTTTGGCATTTACATTTTCAGAAAGTTAACACAAGTTAATAGAAGGTGAGTCGGGTTATTAAGTACTTTTTCATAAACTCAGTATTTCATCCGTAATTAAATGCAAAGCATAATAAAACCTCATACAATTTGGTAGATTTCAGGAGGCCAGGGAATGGGCAGTTAGGATGTAGCAATGTATTCTCCAAGATCATTAAGGAGTATTTGTGCTATGCATAGATTTTGCTTGAATTTGGAGGGTAGACTAGAAAGCATACAGAAAGCCTTCTTAGATTGGCTGTGCATTAATGTTTGATGTTTACAGTTAAAAAAAATCCTTACAGAATCACATAAATAGTAAAAGGAACCTCTTATTGGAATGAGAAGAATTCCTTTTTGAATTTTACCAGGATTACCTCTGGATCAAGGATTCCAGCTGGCCACTGGGGGGAGACTCATTCACGAGTCCTACTGATTCAAGTTTAGAAAGACCAAGCTGTCTTTAAGTCTAGCCTTCCTGACCATTTTGTCAAAATACAGGCTCTTCTTGTGAGGCCGAGGCAGGCACTAGTTCATCTGTAGCCTTGAAATTTTTCTCTGAGACAACAAAGAGTTAAAAAGAACCCCTGAGCATCAGGTGTGTGGGTGTCAGGTCTAAACCAAGCCCCCCCCCCAGGAACTGGAGGAAGCAGGCACTGTGTGTGTGGCCTGAAGGACCATAGGGCGGGTACAGGAGGAATCAAGAGCCGTGAAAATTTCCATGGTGAGGATGGATTATACTGAGGCCGAGAGGGGAGACTTTTCATGAGAGCAGAGCATTCCCACACAGACAGCAAAGTTGCTCTGCAGATTCATTTTTCAGCCTCCAGCCCTGTGTTCCTTTTTTACAGAAACTTAGTGGGAAGGGAAAAAAAATGAACTTGAAACCCTAAATATACACTATGATCCCCTCACCCCACAACTGGATGCCTTGGACTAGAAAATGACAACTATGGCTCCTGAGGCAAAATGATATAAGGTGCTTTACAATGAGGTTTGGATTTCAAAAGAAGCACAAATGATTGTTCCTGTTCTAAAAACTTGAGAAATGGGCTTCCACATCCTTCTGGAGGCCAGGAAGACAGAGGGTGGAGCCAAATGCTTTCCACCTAAGGAAAATTTGAACGTAGAAAATCAGGCTTCTTTGTGTATGAAGCATTTTAGAACTTGACAAGGATTCCCATGGGTCAATATTTACCCAGTCCTCTCTTCTCTACAACCTATGGTATCTTCAGGGGATTTTCAAGAGATGCTGTGTGCATGCCAGGAAATCAGAAACCTTAGTCTCACTTGTGGGAGAGTTTCCAATCCAATTTAAATAATCTAAACTATGATCCAGCAAATAGAAACCCACAAAAGTTTGTAAAGTTACAAGGCAGAAGAGGCCGACAGTGGAGACAGAGACATGCTTTGGAATCTTAGCACTTTTCGGGCAAAAGATTTCAACACAGACTAGAATACAATGGACACCCAGGGCTCCAAACCATTAAGAGGCCATTCTGTCACTGTACTGATGTTGCTGGAGGTAACACTACCATACATTTTTAAAAAGAAAAATGATATCACAATGAAGAAACACATGAAAAGGGTAAAACCAGGTAGAATGAGAAAAGTGCTCTCCTAGAAGCCACAGTGCATCCTATGGGTGTAGCACAACCTTGAGAAGTGACCAGGAGCCCTGCACACTCTAGGTCTGCTTCCTTGGTTGTGTCATCTACTTGCTCTTGTCAAAGTCTAATTGGAAGAAGAAATCATGACTTCAGAAATATGAAAAATATGAAATTTCCTTAACCTTACACATCTCATAAAATGCATTCATTCATTGGCAGATATTTTAAGGATTATTCCTATTTATTTTGTGTAACAAACTATTTGTGACATTAAAATTTTGGTTAACAAAAATAAGGGAAGTGTCTCCACAGAGGATGCCTATGAACTCTGCTCAAAAGTGGCCTCTCCTCTTTCAACCCATCTCCAATGAACAAAATGGAACATCAGCTCTCTTTTGTGACTTCTATCCCATTGCTGGCCTTCTTAGGATACTCTCATTGCTTTGGACCAGTGGTTCTCAACCTGTGGGTCGCGACCCCTTTGGGGGTCGAACGACCCTTTCACAGGGGTCCCCTGAGACCATCAGAAAACACATATATAATTACATATTGTTTTTGTGATTAATCACTATGCTTTAATTATGTTCAATTTGTAACAATGAAATTGGGGGTCACCACAACATGAGGAACTGTATTAAAGGGTTGCGGCATTAGGAAGGTTGAGAACCACTGCTTTAGACTCAAGTAGATTTACTTTTTATATCCAGAACTAGCATCTAAACCATAAGAGCTTGCAATGATTGCCTTAAATTAAAACACTAAAAAAATTTTTACATTTGCCATTTTGATGTTCTAAGATTTTATATCTGGAAAGTTGACATAAAAGATATATTTGGTATGAGTTTTAATTCTCCTGTATACTCAAAGTCTCCCATTATACTTATATAGTCACAGTTATAAATATTCTGAAAATGTTGAGAAGATGATAAAAATTGCTGACAGAAGCAAGTGGACCTAACTACAATTTTATGATGTGACATCCAACATCTCAAATAATCTTCAAATTTGTGTCTTAGTTGTGTGTGAGCTGTGTCAGTTTGTATTTTTGGCAGATGACAGGAAGGACGCATGTTTCTTTACTGGGATCTGTATGTCTTGAAATGGTAAGTCAATAACCTCCCTGTTTTAGGTAAGAAATCAGTTTTCATTCAATGAGCACAGTTTTCAAAGAAGTTCAATATTTGAAGTACCTACCAAAAGCTGTCCAGCAAAGCAGACAAAAAGGATAAAGGCAAGCAGGAGGAACGCAGCTCCAAAGGAGATCCCGAGGATGGAGGTTCTACAGGAAAGAGAAAAGAATGGGTTAGTGTGGGGAGGGTTTCTCTCATCCTGGAAAGCCGTCAGCCATATCTTCACTTAATTAGGACTTAATTAAATGAGGACTTCAATCCTCACTAATTTTTTTGAGAAATGAAAATGAACGTAAAACAAAACTGAAAATATGTCCATAGAAAACTATGTCCACAGTTGTGTCTGGTTGACTTGTGATGATGGCTCATTAAAACCACCCTATACACAGTCCTTTATTTAAAAATTATCTTTTTTTGGACTCACCTATGCAACTAGCACTTTCCGTCACTGTGTCCTCTTCCCTGCTGTTGATGTTTTGGCAGCTGCTGCCTCCAGATCATTCTTACTCCCGTTCACTTAGGTAACACTGAGTCTTCACCCTCCCCACTACAATCCAACCAGATTCAACTTCCTTAAAAAATAAATGCATCTAAGTGTTTTCTGAAGTTCTCCCAAGGTTTCACAGGCCCCGGCTTTTACATTCTTGCACGAGTCAATGAACACACAAGCTTTCTATGATCATGTGAACAATGTGCCCACTGAGTTACAGATTGTGCTACCAACAGGTTATAAGTATTTATAAGAATTATATACATTTCTGAGCAGTCCTTTAAAAAATTAAAAAAATGAAAGCCTCGTAAGCCTTCATTTATTACAAAGATAAAAGGGGTTGGGGGGTATCAAAAGAGCAGAACTACAATGAATAATCAAAGATGAAATTCAAATGGAACATCCAAGGAGAGGTCAGGTGTGTCTGAGACCATAATAAAACTCATACCAATGACACTGGCTAGAGAAACTGAAGAGAGAGAAGAGCAGCAACTTCGAATGTCAATAGACAGATGGAAGACCTAGATGCAAGTCAGCAACAAGTTGAAATAAATCTCTAGTGGGAAGGTGTTTATATATCAAATACACCTATAGTATTGACTCAGCTCATGCACTAGGCCTATGTTAGGCTGCAATGTTACAAAGATGATTAAGATGTCAACCATATTTTCAGCTGCTTACAGTCTAGTAGAGATAAGCACTGTTTGTCTCCTTACCTTCTAGAACATTCTTCCTTAAGACATCACTCCAATCCTCAGACCCTGGTTGAGGCCACAGAGGCCCTGGCTACCACCAGTTGCCCCAGCCTCATCATCTCCCCTACACAGTCTCAGAGCCTCCTGCTCAGACAAGACAGTGAGGAAGGAGGGGACTGTGAAGCAGTGCACACCTCAGAGGGATGGACGAAAGAGGAACACGGTAACTCATCTGCTGAACTTTTGTTCGCCACCTTTCTCATCCATTTTATTCTTATAAAATAAGCTCTCAAGAGTTTCATTTGACTCTATGTTCACCTGATTCCTTTTGAATATCAAGGTAATGCCAGCCTCATAAGGTTGAGTTCAGAAACATTATTTCTTTTTCTTAGGTCCGAAACTGTTTAGATAACAAACGAGTAATCGTTTATTGAAGGTTTGGTAAATCTCAACTATAAAACCATCTGATGAGGTGATGGTGATGATATGATGATACGATGACACAAATCAACATCCATAGATCATTTACTACATGCCAAGCACTCTTCTAAGGACTTTATATGTATAGTTAATTTACTCCTGGATAGAAGTTAATATTATCACCTCATTTTACTGATGAGAAACTGAAACCCAGATATCTTAGGAGACTTGCCTAAAAGCTATTTCTCTATTAAGTTGTGTGGGTGACGTTTGTGTTCATGAAATTGTATTCCTGATCCATGATTAGAAGTAGATATGTCACATTTCTGTCATGTTTACTGGTTCTATTTTTTAAGTCAATTCGGAAAATTTTCCTAGAAAATTATCCATTTTATTTAGATGTTCAAATGTAAAATATTATATTATTCTCTTGAAAATTTTAAAGTCTCCATATTTGAAGTAATTTCTTTTTGTACTAAATCTTATTTTTATCTTTTTTCTTTAAATCAGACTTTTGCATGTTTGTTGATTTTCTCAAAGCGTTTGGAATATTATTAAAGTCTATGCATTCTGATAGTTTTTTAGATTATTAGTTTCTGATTTAACTTCAAAAAAATCCGTCTTCATTTAAACTTAAATTGTTCTTTTGCTTAATTGTCACTTGTTGCTAATCTTTTGTATTTTCTAATAAATGTATTTAAGCACATAAATATTCCCATAATTACCACTTTAGCCAAATCCCATAGCTTTGATTTATAGCTACTCAATTGTCATTCTTTTCTAAAAGGCCTGTAATTTCAATTTCAATTTCCTTTTAATACAAGAGTAATTCAGAAGTCTAACTTATAAATTCTACAAAGAGGCTATTTTTGGTCTGTTCTTGTTATTTCTAATTTCAACAGATTTGATTAGAGATTGTGCTTATTATTTATACTTTGACAGTTTATTTTTCTTCTAGGCTGTGATCAACAGGCTTTACTTCTATGATGGTTTATGGCTTTCTAAAAATGATATGTATTTTCTATTTTTCTGGAAACAAAGCATGTTCTCTAAATATATCTATTCAGAGGGCCTAAATATATCTATTCAAATCCCCAGTGGGCTGACTTATTGACTCAATTTGGTCTGTCAATTTTAGAATGCATTAAGATTTCTAAATAGGATTGTGGATTTGTCAATATATCTGAACATTTTAATAGTTTCTCTTTATTTACTTCAAAGAAATGCTGGAGTGCACAAAGATTTATGATTGTTAAACTTTCTTGGTGACTGTACCATAATAGGTCTTTTGTCATGTTGAATGCCTTGCATTTGAATTCTGTATTGTCAGAAATTTATATTACTGCTGCCTTCTTTTTTCTGTAAGCTGTTTCTCAAAATAACTATTTTCCATCTTTATTTCCAAACTTTCTCTTTTAATTTTAGGTTGATCTCCCATATATAATACAAAAGTGTGGCCTTTGATTTGTAGCCTCAATCTTTGAGCTTCTGTCCATGAATAGGATATTTTTATCCATTTACACTTATAAAATTCGTTAATATTTGAGCAGTTCCTTCCTCTTGTTTTCTTAAAATGTATAGTAGGATTCATACAGAAAATCACCTGCATGTGAAGTTTTGTGTGAAGATTTTTAAAAAATCAAATTTAATAAATTCAATATGTACATATACATTTAAATGGTCTGTTCTATATGTGTCAGGTTTGATAGACTCTCCTTCCAATGAATTTTTCCATTTCATCTAATTTTAAATCTTGCTGGCCTTGAGTAATTTATAACATTCCATATTTATCCTGCCAATGTCTATAGGCTCTGTAGTGGATTCCCTTTTATTCCTTATATTATTAGTTTGGGTGCTTTGTGATGATCTCTTTTTCTTTCTTGATCAGTTTGGTAATGGTTTAGCAATAATTAAACTTTTTCAAAAAATCAACTTTTGGCTTTACTATTTCTGTATTGATTGGTTTCTATTTTATTGATTTTTTCTTCCTTCTTTACCAATTATTCCCTTCTACATTCTTGATTTGCTCTTCGTTTCCTGGCTTCCTAAATTGGAAACTGAGACTTTTTATTTTAACTGTTTTATTTTCTTTCTTTTAGCATTTGAAAGCTACAAATTCCTCTCTAAATGACTGCTTTAAGTACATACCAGATAATTTGATGTTATGTTTTGATATACAAAACACTTTCTAATTTCTCTTGTGATTTCTTATTTGACTAGTGTATTCAAATGTATATAATTTAACAATAAAAAGATTGAAATAAATTTTGAAAAGATTTATTAATAAAGATGGAAACAATAAAAATCTTGCTCATTGTTCCAAGAATATATGTATATCTGGGGCTACTCCTATTGAACATTATACCAGAAGAGCTAGCCAGGGAAATTAGGCACAAAAATAAAATAAAGGCATCAGATTGGAAACAAACAAGTAAAACTATCTCTACTTGTAGATGATACGATCCTGTATTTAGAATACAATGTCACAACCTGGCATTCAGACCCAGAGTGGCTCGAATTCTCACTGACATGCTCAACCTGAGGCTGTCCCGTGTTCCTGTCCACGGGCACAGACCCTCTTGTTCAGTTGGAGGTACCCTTTATCTCAGGGAACAGAAATACCACCAAGCAAAGTAATGGCTGCTCAAAAGCTCTTAATTATAACCATTTATCATGCCTGTTCTATCAAAAGCATGTTCAGGCCCATTAAGCATACCATGAGGTTATATAACATAACCAATTTTAATTAACATTCTGGTTGCAAAGCTGTTTCTTTTTAAAACCCAAGTATAACTGATTTATGTACTTACTGAAAAGCAAAGCTGACTCCTCCCTGTCATGAGGCAAGGAAAGTCACATTTTTTTTAGTGAGGATTTTCGACTTTGGCACTTTAATCAAGTATATTGTTACAGTAAATGGAAAAGGCTGATTCAGGACTAGGTCCTTTCTCCTCTCTGGTTTTTCCCAGCCAGTTCATTGCTTAAAGATGGTTCTGACAGGGGCAAGGAAGCACGTTTGCTGAGAAAGAAACCAGCAGAGATTACGGACTCCTCCCCCACCAAAAAAGTCTGAAAGTTATATTAGTTATAAACCATTTAAATGGGTAAACAAAGCCTTTCTTTGGAATTCTAGTTAGTGCCACAGCTCTCTTCCCTCTGTGCTCTCACTTCTCCTCCCCCAAGTAGTGTTATGGGTCCCTCCATCAATGCTCTGTGAACCTCTGACACATTTATTTAGCAAAGACGATGAGAACTGAGGGAACTCACAGACCCTCAATAAAAGAAGTAATAAATAATATACATCAGTAAGAAGAAAAATGAAGAAAGGAATTTTTAAAAAGCATCAATGAGCAAAGATTTGGTAAACAATATGGGTAAATCTAAATAAATATTGACTATAATTACCATCTGGACCTAAAATGATAAGAAATAATTATAGAAGAAATATAACGATTACCTTTAAAATTTATTAAGTTAAGAATACATATATTTTCTTTTAACTTAATAAAGAAAAAAAATAAGTTAGGAAGGGAAGTGGAGAACAAAAGAAAAGCAAGGTAAATGAAAATAAGAGGGTAAAGCGGGTCTATATATATCAAAGAAAAAAATCAAAATACAAATAAAATAATATATATATATATATGTATATATATATATATATATATATATATATATATATATATATATAGTAATATGCAAATTAGGCTGGGACTCTGTAACGGGTTGCGACCAGACAGGAGGAGGTTGCGCGTGCAGGTGAGGCCTGGAACAGAGACGGAGACAGAGGCAGGGGGGCCTGCCCGAGCTGGCGTGGTGGCTCGGGTGGTCCCGGAGCGGACCCAGGCAGGGGGGCCAGTGCTGAGCGAGTCAGGTGCAGGTCCCAGCCCCCAGCCCCTCTCACCCAGGCTGGCCATACCCTCATGGGATGAGGGTCCCCGCTGGGGGCCTTGGCCAGCCTGCAAACAGCCAAGAGCCCCTCACCCAGGATGGCCACAGCCTCATGGGGTGAGGGTCCCTGCTGGGGGCCTTGGCCAGCCTGCAAACAGCCATCAGCCCCTCACCCAGACTGGCCAGATACCTCAGCAGAACCCCCACCCTGATCCGGGACACCTTCAGGGCAAACCAGCTGGCCCCCACCCATGCACCAGGCCTCTATCCTATATAATAAAAGGGTAATATGCAAATTGACCCTAACAGCAGAATGACTGGGAATGACTGGTCACTATGATACACACTGACCACCAGGGGCAGACGCTTAATGCAGGAGCTGCCCCCAGGTGTCAGTGCACTCCCACAGGGAGCTCTGCTCAGCCACAAGCCAGGCTGATGGCTGC